GCAACAACACCAACACCAGCACCAACACCAACAGCAGCAGCAGCAACAGCAGCAGCAGCAGCAGCAGCAGCAGCAGCAGCAACAACAACAACAACAACAACAACAACAACAACAACAACAACAACAACAACAACAACAACAACAACAACAGCACCAACCCCAACACCACCACCACCACCACCACCACCAGCAGCAGCAGCAGCAGCAGCAGCATCAGCAGCAACAAAAAACAACAACCTCTTCTGGCGTGTCTTGAGGTTTTTCCTGGGGCTGTGTTAAACACACATGCTAAAAGGATCCCTTCCATTGGCAAGAGCACAAGCATAGGGAAGCGCAAGAATATAGGACCACGACGCTCACTTTTTGGAGATGTAAAAAGACGCAGGCAAACAGGGTTGTGGGATCAAGGGGTTTTACCCCACTTCTGTGATCTCTTCGGGAATCTCCCCCGTTCTGTGGTGGGTTAGTCTTTGGGAACCCCGTTTCTGTTGTGTCACAGATTCGTGGATTCCATTTCAACCACAGCCCTGCAGGCAAAGGTTAGGGAGCCTCGTAAAAAACGGGCGAATCGACTCTGCTTCAATAGGCTGCCGTTTGATGATTTGGGTATGGGTCAAAATTACACCACTAGGGGACCGCAGGTTTAAGTCATGTTTCCATTTACCTGTCTTTTGGGGTACATATTTTTGACCCACAGCCATTTATCCGACAGCCTTACTATCAGACTGATGGGCAAGATTGAAATGGATGAAACCCTATACTCACTTCCCAAGTTCTTGAACTTTAATAAGCTTTTTGGCAAACACATTTTATTGCTAAACAACAAGTGTTGCCTTTTTGGGCCGTCTACACAGGAGGTGCGTTTAGATACTGGGATGAGCCACTTACCAACTGGCGAGTTCAGTGGATTTTGTGCATCAGCAGCTTGAGAACGTGTGACGTCAGACTCGGCCCAGGTTGCCGGCAGCCTTCCAGCACGTGTCATACCTGGTGGCGCCTCCCAAGACCAAGGCGCAGTTGGACAAGGAACAGGTCGACAGGGACCAGACCCACATCCACGAGGATTGGATGAGGCTTTGAGGCTTTGCTTTGCGCTGCTTTTCTCCATATGTCTGATACTCACTCTCTTTTTTTCCAGGAAAACCATTTTGGTGGTAAGTAACCAGTCCACTGAGAAAGGAAGGAACATCTTGTGAGTCCTCTCAAAGGTCCAGTTGCAGCAAGGACACGTCTCAAGGATTGCGCAGGCGTCCTTTCGGGGAAACAATTCAACTGGGAAGTGATGAGAGCCAGACTGGCACACCAACAACCAGGACTTCCTCCGTTTCAGCATTTCACTTTTTGGAACCTCCAAAAGTGGTAGGTTTTATTGGAAACCAGTCAATTGCGACCTTTGAAGGGGAAATCCAGTGACCTCTGACCTCAAAGCAAACGGGTATGGGTCAAAAACCCCGTACCCCCAGTGAACATCCCAATGCCCACTAAAATAGACTAAAATGAGTGGTGCACCCACCCCAAAATGGTACCATTGGTTTTGACAGCCAAATGTGTTCAGGTCCTAAACATCAACTTCTGAGATCTCCAGTGACCCCCTCCTATTCAAGGGGCCATTGCTTATCTCTGACATTCTCCTTAGCTTCCCTCTACTTGGTGGCTTGGATTTGTTTGGGGATTTGAACCCCCTCCAGAGATCCATTTGCGGGGTAGGACCCCATGGTGAACGTGGACATGACCCCTTGGTATTACGTGCGCGTGCTGCTGGTGATTACCGTGGTCAGCTGGTCCGTGTTGCTCACTGGCCGCATCGTGGAGTGCATCATGTGCCTCGGACATCAGCCGGGGATTTTCAGCCACGCTCCAGAAACTCATTTGGATGTGGGTCAAAACCAATGGGATCCCATTTTGGGATATGTGCATCACCCATTTTCGTCTATTTTGGTGGGGATTGGGATGTTCGCTGAGAATTCGATTTGGATGTTGACCCATGGCCACCTTTCCCCAGTTTCTGGACTTCTCATATTTTTTGGAAGACCATTTTAGTGGGAAACCAACAGAGTTCAGATTCGACTTTAGACCATCCACGCAGGGATAACGTTAGCGCCGAAGAAGCGATGCCCTCCAAAATGGCCGTGTTTTTTTTTCGTCGTCAACATTGGTCAATATGCAAGAGCAGTTCTATCTGAAGGGATGAACAGTCGCAGCACTACTGGTCCCCCATCTAGGTGCCCTTTCTCACCCGTTTCTTTTTTGCTTGGGAGGGTTCGGTTCCCCTACTAACATAGACTACAGACAAAAACTCGGGCACCCTAATTCTAAGTCCTCTTCACTGGAGGACCTAGCAGCGGTCGGTCACTCCTGTTGCCAGTTGCAACCAGCGGATTCCGCCCCCTTTTTTTTCCGACTTTTTTTGAGAAGGCGTCCCTTTAAGCTCAACCAACCCTTAAAAGGAGGCCGATGTTTTTTTGCTTCCTGGAAAGCCACTGGGCATCTTTTTGTTGGGTTTTCCGTATTGAACGATTGAAAGTGAAAAACTTTTAGCAGGGGAGCAGATTTCGCAACCGAGAGTCTCAGCTGTTGGTCACTCCAGTTCTCACTTCGCTGCTCCAAGCTCCCAGCGCGCGTTTTGCTGAGGAGCGAGCGCATGCTGGTGACGAACCCCGGCGCCCCGCCCTGGACGCGCATCGGCCGCTGGTACGGCTGGGAGAGCGGGCCCATCACCTCCAAGCACTACGCCCACGTGACGCCCATGCGAGGAGCGATTTCGAGAACTCGAGAAAGCGAGAAGTTCGATTTGGATGAAACCAGGATATTTTAGCCCATGTTTCTACCAGGGTTCCGGATGTGGGGTGCCTGTTTTTGACGCACAGCCGTTTTGCCTTTCGCCATGCAAGAAGAACCAGGTTACTAAACTCGAGAAAGCGAGAAAGCGATGAAACCACCGGGAGATGGACCGAAAGTGTTTTAGCCCATGGTTTCCATGTACCAGGGTTCCGGATGTTGGGTGTCCATGAAACCCACCAAAAGTTGAACTTTTTAGCAGGATTCTGGGGGGGGGGAAGAGTGAGCAGGTGAGCGCGTGCATGTGCCCATGTGACAAGTCACACAGTGCGCCTTAAACCCTTGGGCACAACTTTTTGTGTCAACCAACAGCATTTGTTTGCCATTTTGCAGGGATAACATGGTTGTTGTTGGAAACATTTTACATTTTTGCTTGTTGTGGTTTAGTGGGAAATCCCCACTTAACTGCTAAACGTTATATTTTTGCTCCCCTTCCAACGTCAACCAAGATAATTTCGGCCAGAGTCGGAGAGATTTTGAGAGCCGATGCTCGTGCGGGGGGTTTTGCTACGAACCAGGATTCTGTTTTGGGTTGCCCCCAAAAAGGATTTGACCCTCTCACCAACCATGAAAGTGCACCTGGACCGTTTTTGGAAAACTACTTTCCTCTTGGACAAGCTGGAGCAACTGGGTCGTTGTCATGCCCGTGGGTCAAAATCCCATACCCCCAGTGAACATCCATTTTTTCCCCACTAAACTAGGTTGTAAAATGGGTGGTGAATTCACCAATGCCCCAAAATGGGATGCCAAAACGGTTTTGACCACCACAGCCATATGGCATTGGACATGAGTGACCATAGGTGTCCTTTTGGGGGGACATAGATGGATATCCCTGGTAGATGAGTAAACCACCGGTAAACCCGAAAAAAATAAAATAAATACGCGCGCCGCCGCTTGGCCGCCGCCCGTTCGGCCGAAGGACACTTTGCTTGGCAGAAGGGATGGGGGCCACAAGGCCAGCAGGAGCTGTGGGCAAGCGCTGCTCGCACGGATTGGCACGTCCGCGTTTTTTGTTTTGTTTTTTTTTTGTCGGAGGAAGCGTGGCTCCTGTGGTGGCTCCTGTCTTTTTTTGGTGGGGAATGGGCGGGGGTGGGCGTGTTTTTTTGGGTGGGGGGGGGGGAATGGGCGGGTTGAAGTTCTTGCTCTGTTTGGTTTGTAGTCTGTTAAGCACATAGGCGAGATTCTAAAGGTACATGTGAGAGTAGAGGCACGATTTCCACCTGATGCCAGACTTGAGGAAGGAATAGATGTGAGCGAGACTTGGGTTCGTGTTAAAACAAGGCAACCTACAAAATGGCTGGTTGTCCTTCGGACTCCCTATTCAACAGCCCCAAACAGGGCCGTTAAGGACCCACCAAGCTCTTGAGCCTGCAAGCTGAGGATATGTTCGGCTTCCACCCGGAGGCGGACATGCATTGGTCAGAGGCAGAGGGCCCCCAGCCTCATGTGGGCGTGGCCGGCAATGGGGAGAACACCTGGTTCGAGGGCGTCATCAAGTATGCGCGCGTCTGGGAGGGCGGCCACGATTGGCTCGACAGCGGAGGCGAGAGCCGAGAGCCTCTCGTGGGGAGCCGGGCGTTTTGATTTGCGGTATGTCGGCGTATGTGGTAAGGGCCGATGTGGCTGTGGCTCAAAGTTCAAGAGCTAGGGTTAGGCGGTTTTAGTTTTTGGTTCCATTTACCAAGGTTCCATTTTGGTACATCTGTGCGTGTGCGCTCGTCTATTATTGGATTTCCCAGCGGAAATCAAATTAACAAAGCCTTGTTTGCTTCTGCAGCCTCCATCAAACGTGATAAACTAGCCATCGGGATGGCATCCAGATCACAGAAAGGGCTGCTTGCATTGTTAAAGTGACTTGCGCCAGGCCACAGGCGCCTGCAGAGCGCAGACGAGGCGGGGAATGCGTGGACTGCGTCCGCTTAACGAGCCGTCCGCGGAGGGCTCGTTGGCAACGGCCGGCTTCTTTCAGAGGGATTGCTTTCCACGGAGCAAAGCTCCACTCAGAATGAGGTCCCCAAAATTTGGCACAAAGCCAAAGCCAGATCGTTTCAAAATTTGATACAAAGCCAAAGCCAGATCATTTGGTATTTCCAACACATTTAATTACTTTCCCAGAAAGGGGGCCGCTCCAGTCGGTTCCATGTTGGATGTCAGGGTAGTCCTTTTCACACTTCTTGGTTTGTCCAAAAGTAGTTCCGAAAGTCCTCGTGGAGGTATCAACCCAGGCCCCCAACTTGTCCCCCCCCATCTGCACAGGCACCAAAGCAAATGTTAGGCAAACAGTGTTTCAGTAGCGAAATTCCCTCAAGTATTTCAACATGTCCAACCGGTTCTGAGGGGTTCGACATGTTTCAGCAGCGGTTGGATCTGTGTTTGTGTGAGTTGTGCATGGATGATGCATGTACGTGATTGTACTGTACGTGTATGCAATTATATATATATATAGATATATATATATATATATAGAATGCATATGCATACCTATATACATCTACATACATATATACATATACATACATATATACACATAAATCGGCATATATATATATATATATATGTATAGACATACACACTAGAGAGAGAGAGAGGGATCATATATATATATATATACACATATTGTATATGTGGTACAATGCTTATGCGTACATGTCCCCCCCCACCCGTTGACGACTTTCTGTCGAGGTGTCCACCGTGGTGCGGCCGGTGGTCCCTGCGGCGGTGGCCTGGCCTCCGCTGCTGGAGCCGGAGCTCTTGGCCTGCGGCGCCGGCGGGGTGGTGGCCATGTCCCCTGGAGGCGGTTCCGGGGATGGAGGTTGGGGGGGGAGGAGGGGGGGGAAGGGGGGGGGGGATGGTGGACACTTAGGGTCTATTTTGCAACCTCCTTTGTTTAGGTTGGCTGCAAAATACACTCGAAGTGTCCATGGCGCGGGGCGGGGGGGGGGGGAGGGAGAGGTCTGGGGGGAGGGGGTAGCGAATTTGCTTCATTTTTTTGAGGCAAAGTGTGTATGCGGACGGCCTTGCTAGAAAAATCGTGTCTCCAGCCTGGCAAGATTCCCTATGATAGGGGTTCGGGGAGGTGTTTGTCTATTGCATCGGAATAGGTCGGTGGCCTCCTGAGGGGTGTCTCCAACCTTAAGGGCGGGGGAGAGTTGGGGGGACTTGCCGTGGGGGGGCTTTGTGTATATTTTTTTGGGGGGGGACGGCCCGTCTCTTTTGGGACGTTACCCCGTTGTCTTTGTTTGTGGGGAAAGGGAAGTCGAGGGAAATCGAACACACCCATTGAAGCTTGGATCCACCTTTTCAACTTGATGAGAGGTGTGTTTCAAACATGAATCACAAAGCTAGGCTGTTTTGCACAGGCAGGAGCCACCAAGCAAACACACCTCCACTACCCCCAAGCCACTTTTCCCAGTCTTTTTTTTGCCCATATGAATGGCTTTCACTAGTTTATGCCCTTGTGGCATTGGAAGCCAGACTTCGCCGAAGTTTTGAGAAAGAACGCCGGCATCCTGCAAAAAGCTGCGCTCGCAGCGCCCCAAAATCGATTCCCTGTAGGTGGTAAAACACCAGGCCCAAGCCTTGAGCATTGAACCGAACATCTCGGATCAGGAAATGTTCCAGGACTTTGAGCCCCAATCCCCCGGGTTTTGCGGGGTATTTGGAATTGGAGAATGTCCTGGCAAATGTCCAGGACTTTTAGCCCAAAGCACCGGTGTTTCTTGGGTGACTTGCCAATTTCCCAGGGGTTGTCTCAAATCGGAAACCCTCAAAATTGGTGGTGGTGTTCCTGTTGTTCTCCTTTAAAATTACCCCAAAAAGGGGGTACCAACTCAAAATGACACCCAAATCTGGTGTTTTGCCCGAATTCCCCGGGTATTTGGCGAACTGATGGTATTTCTTTCCGTGCCATTTTTCCCTTCATACCGCCCCAACAAAGGGCACCAACTCCATCCCAGCAAGGTCACAGGTTGTGTAAGAAAAAGCCTGGATGCTCACAACTGCAACAGCAAGAAAAGCACCAAACGCACCTGGCTTTTTTTCACCAGCCTTGTTTGCCCCCCGCCCCAAACCCGGGGACACCAAAACGCAAGACAAAAAGAAGAAAAGCCGAAAAAACGCGCCGACCCCACAACGGGGAAACGGGGGGGGGGCACCAAAAACGCCCGAAACAGAAAGAACTCATAGCGGCAGCGCGCGCCGAGCTGCGCGTCGCAGTCGCCAGGCCGGGGCGCCTTCTTTGAGACCCGGGCGGCCACGGAAGGCTTCGGCAGGTCCTGGGACTTCAGCGCGGAGGGCCTGCGCCGCGGCCGGAGCTCGGTTTTTTTTTTTTGGGGGGGGGTTGTGTGTGTGTGTGTGTTTTTCTCTCTTTTGTGGGGGAAATTCGCTTCTTTGTTTACGTTGTTGTCGGTTTTTGTGGACCGGGGGGGGGGGGGAACGCTTCTTCTTTTTTTGAGTAGTGGGGGTTGAAAACTTTTTTTTTTTTTTTTTTTTTTTTGGGGGGGGGGGGGGGGGTAAAAACGGCTAGAAGATCAAAAGGCTGCACGGATAGGCGCCGGAAAGGAAAAACACACATGCATATACACATATACATATATATATATAATTATATATTTGCACATATTGTTTGATCTATACCCATATATATATACGTATACATATATATATATATATATATGTATACATATATATATATATATATATATTAAGTTTGTTGACTTGTTTTGGCCCATCCACACGGGAGGTGAGTTTATGCGCGCCCCAAAAGGGCTTGAAACACCTGCAACTGTTTAGGGGAGGTTTTGGTGAGAAATGTGGAGGTGCCCAGTTCAGGTTGGATAAGCCTTTAAAGGAAACCAATCTTGGTCCGTAAAAGTTGACACATACCCAGCTGACCTTTTTGCTTTTTCGTCCGCAACTGTTGGTGACTGTTTTTCGGGGTAATGTTTTAAGGGAACCCTTTTCTTGCACGGGTGGCGCCAATCCGACGTGAACACATGCTTTTAAACACCTGTGGTTTTAGCAACCTCCCTTTGGTCCCCCTTTGAAGTTCAAACATCCCCAACTCTGTGTTGGCCCTTTTGCTTTTCCCTCACTTGCCCGTCTTTTCGCCCCCTCACTTCTCCTTTCAACCGGACAGTTCAGGGCTGAAGTGATAAAAGGTCGAAACTTCCAGTTGCTTCAGTTTACGTTGAATTTCTCCTGGTTGGTGTTGAAGGGAATCCGTCACTACCGGAACAGCTTTTTACTTTTTCCAGGGGGGCACAAAAGCAGATGGAAGTGTTTCAAAAGGTCTGGGGCGCTTCAAGTGACCAAGGGTCTACCCTCCCACCAACTAACATGGAAGTGCAAAATGGCCAACTAACCAAGAGGAAAGTCGTCTTTCTACCGGGGTCTGTGCACAAACCCATGTTCGCTGTGGGAGGGCAAACGTTGGCTTTTTGCGCAGGGGAAGGAGCTGAGTGCGAATGTGAGGTTGGAGCTGGGACTGGCGCGGGGCATGAACTGGGGCAATGGGCGCCTGCTGGTGCACACAGGCCATTGGGGGGAAGGGGAGGGGGTGGTTTGGGGTTGGTTTTTGCTGTGGGGTTGGGTGGTTTGGGGAGGGGAGGGGGAGGAGGGGAGGGGAGGGGAGGGAGGGGAGGGGTGAGGCGTGTTTTTTCCATATTGGTCCATTTTAGTCATGGCCCCGAACCCCAAAAGGTTAACCTTTTGTTTCCAGGTCCTTTGGGCAACTGAGGGTCTGTTGTGATGTATTCTTGAAGCCATGCAAGCAAGCCAGGTGAGCATGGCCGACCAAAGCTTGTGGAGTTGGCATTGAATCCCTTAGGGGAAGCGCCTCTACACAGCAGGGCTCCTTAAAAGATACATTTTGCCAATTTGAAACATGGCTTTTTCAACACAAAAATAAAGGGAAACCACCATTCACAATGCAATGTTCAGGTGTATAATGTAAGGATCCCTGCACAGCATGATTTGTTTGATGGGGACGTGGGACATGATGGAGGATTGACATGAGGAGTTGGACTTAGGACCAAACATCTTTGCGACCCGATTCAGGATGTGATGCTACATTCAGGCTGATGTGATTCGTCGAAAGGAAACAAGACACCGTGCGGCCCAGATTCAATCGACCTGTTCTGTGTGTTTGGGTACCATTTGTCCCCTCCCATGTTTTTGTGTTTGTTTAAATGGAAGGCGACCTCTGGAGTGGTTGGTTCCTTTGGCAGGCTCCGGAGCCATTGCTGCATGCCCGACGAGCACAAGTGGTGTGTGCCACGGCTTGCAATGCTGGGCCCCAGATCTTGAAGTGGTTGCTTTGATGGAATCTGGTGGTTGCTGATGTTTTTTTTGTTGGTTGCTGCTGGTAATTTCATGCCATTGGAAACATCCAAGTTAATGGGGGGGGGCTGCCCGGTGCAGTGAAAGAGTTTCTGTCCACAACACGCTCTTGTCAGGACCGCCTGTTGCAGCATGTTTGCCGGGCCGTAGCTGGTAACTTCTCCAGGTTTTATACCATCCTGACCCAAGCATCAGGTATCCGGTTTGGATTTGGATTGAACCCCTGGTTCTTGTAGAGGATAACAGGGAAACTGCCCTTATCCACCAAACTGCCAGTTCCGCTCCAAACCACCAATTGGAAGCTGACACGCACACTGCATCAGGGCTGCACATTCTGACTCCCCGCAAAGTGACTTATGTAAACCCTGGGTCACGTCCGAAAAATGAGAAAGGGAACCCCTAGGATAGTTTGGTTAAACCTTGATGGCGCTGATTCAGATGGGTTTATGCATCCCATATAGCAGGAAATCCAAAAACGCCACCGGACCCTCAAGCTCCGCACCCAAGCGCCCGCTTCCGCACATCGGAAAGCGGGACGCGTTGGACCCATAGGTGTCCTTTTTGTTTGATTTGGTTGAAAAGTAGGTTGGGCGATTCCTGGTTTACCTGGTTTCAATCTTCCAGGGAAGCCCATCTGTTTTCAACCAAAAAAGGACACCTATGCTACGTCATTGTGTCTAGACCATGTGATTCATGTGATTGATGAAATTCACCTGGTTGCTCTTGAGGGTTTGACTCTGAGCTGCACGAGGAAAATGCACATCCTCCGAGGCTCAGATGCAGCGCCCTGGACCTCCCGAAGCTTCACGCCGAGGTGGCGGCAGTGACGGAGGAAGTCGAGGGCCATCCCTTCCGTGCGGCGGTGCTGGGCGCCGGCAAGGCGGAAGCGGAACATAGGCATAGGTGTCCTTTTTAGCTTAGCTTGATGAACAATAGTTGGGTTCCACTGGTTTAGGTGGGTTTCTTCTATTTACCAGGGCCATCTATTTTCCGAAAGGCCAACATAGGTGTCCTTTTTGGCGGTTTTGGTAGAAAATAGGTTGGGCCATTCCTGGTTTACGCGGTGGTTCAATCATCTACCAGGGATATCCATCTATTTCCCCTAAAAGGACACCTGCTCGGAAGTTTCTCGTTTGTGGCGGTCGGAGCAAGTGGGGGCTTCTGTCTTTATCTGTGGTTGGAGAGGGTTCCCAGCCGTCTGGTTCCTTAGGTTTTTGGGTTGGTTTTGTGGTGGTTTCCATACTTAACCCACCAAAATAGGGGCATCCTTGGATGGTTTTGAGAAAAGCAAAAAAACATAGGGAGGTCTGGAAAAACCGATCCCGAATCCCTCCAGGTGGCTGGTTTCCTTCTAGTTTCCCCTCAACACCATCCAAGGGTGCCGCTGTGTTGAGGGCAGTGGCTCAAAATACTGGAATTCAATTCCAAAATGGAACCACTGCGAAGTGGAAACATGGACCAAAACCTGTGTACCCCCTCCTGTTTAATTTTGAGGCACACCCATATAAAGATACCACGATTTACCCCGACTCTCCCGACTCTCTGACGCTGCCCTCGGATTCCCTGCTAAAAGTGTAACTTGCGGGTTAAATGCAAACTTCCAACCACAAAGCCAGCCAAAAACAACTACAAATCTAAGCTGGGCCGCACGGGTAGTTGAGCCACCAAGAAACGCGGGTTTTTCAATCACAAAATTTGATAAACACCCATATGAGCCACAATCAAACCTGGGTAGATGAAGGTTAGTAAGGGACAATCCCAGCCATAAATAGTTGCGGCCGCCTTTCTAATTCTTCACATGGTTCTGGGTTCACCATTTTTTTTGTACCAGGTTTTGATTGTGACTCATATGAGCGACTGCCTTTGTCCGAAGACTCTGTAAAGGCCGGGCGGATTTTGTTTGGCTAGCATACTGAAGTAGGCACCCCCAAAACGAGGGAATGACATATAGGTGGTTGAGATTACAAGCACCTGTGGCATTGGAGAATAAGGTCAATGAGTCCAAACGGGTACAGGGTTGGAAAGCGAGGGGACCACCCGACCATTCAGCCATGCAGCCAAAAACTACCCACCTCATATAGTACATACATGTTTGGAGCCATGCGGCGGCATGGCACACAACTTTCAAGAGAAACTGGACATGTGTGTATACTACATGTACATATATATATATATATACTGCGCAGCCCCCCCTCCTGGTCCACCCTTTTCGTGTCATTTGTATGACCATATTATATATTTATGTAGTTACCCCCCCGCCCCCAGCGCTCACCTTTTTACTAGTTCTACTTGTGTATACGGCTCACACGTGGAAGCCAGAAACCTCACCGTTTCGTCCTGCTGGCGTGTGGCAGGTGTTGCTGCATGAGCTCTCCGGCCTCGACTGGCGCCTCAAGGCCGAGTTCGCCATCCCTGGGGAGGCGAAGGTGGTGGCACTCTCGGGGGATCACCACAGGCCGGGGGTGGGTGGGGGCGGGGGGGTGGGGGGGGCGGGTGGCTCTGGATCATGGGTTCCGTCACCTGGCCTGAGGAATTTTCAGGGGTCCCTTTACTTTACCCAAAAGAGAGGCGCTCAAAACACAAAGAGATGGGACACCAATGCCATTTGAGGCTCGGTGTACGCGAGAGGTGCTTTATGGCCCCTTTACAGCAGACCCAAAACCTTTGAGCCCGGCACCCTGGCCGTGTTTGTGGAGTCATAGCGCGTCCAGCCAATCCAGATTGTTCATCGATCACATTCAGGCTTTGAGCATTTCATTTAGCCCCCCTTTGTTGGCCCACTTTGTGAACTTCGCACCACCCCGCCTTGATGATAGCTACGTAGGTGCTTCCCAAAGTGAGGAGCCGCTGGGCCCAATCCCATGTTCGGCCCCATCCCTTTTGTGCTTCCAGTCTTCCAAGGCGGTCTTTGCTTGATGGCCTTGCTTAAACGGGTGTTAATGACCAAGCATCCTGAGGGTACCAACTCGAAACAAGACACACACACACACACACATCCTTGGGTTCAACCCCCATGAAAAATGGAGTTGAACTTTGGAGAAAACTTAAGCAAACCATGGTTACACGACAGCTCCATTTTTTTTGTTTCCCGACGGCTTGCAGTTTCCAGGCCCCTGAATTGGCGGTTTGGATGGATGGTTTGGATTTGGATTTGACCCCCCCCCCCCGGTTCTTGCAGAGGGAAACTGGGAACCCCTCCTGAACCGAACCCAAACCACCGATTCGGCTCCAAACCAAACAACGAGGGAAGTTGAAGGGCGGTTTTTTTGACAGAGGCTTCTGAACAATAATAGCGGTGAGATGGCAACTCGGGCTTTTCAGACGGTTTGGAGTTCCCAGCCCTGGTTTTTGCGCCCTTTGAGGCTTCTGGCCGCCAACAGCGACGGCTCCGTGCTCCAGTGGCGCCTCGCCGCGGCTTCCGGAACCGCCGCTTCGGCGCCCGTGGCGCGGGAAGTGCCGAAGGCGGGGCCGCGGCGCAGCTGGAGCGGGGCCTGCGGCTTGGAGGGCAAGGTGCTGCGGCTGGGGAGCAAGCGCCTCGGCCCTCGGTTTTCGGTTTTCGGCCGGCGCGCGCGCGTGGTTTTAAGGAAGGAACGTAAGTATGGAGTGCCCGGTTCTGGTGGGGGTCGGGTTTTGGCTTCCCCAAGGATTTTTCTTTGGGAAGCCTAAGTTGATTTGTTCTAGAAGAGCCTAAGGATCCGAAGGGCCAGGAGGAATTCTTTTTGATCCCCCTAAGGAACCCAAAGGATTTTGGGCCCTAAGGCTCACTACCCACCCCCCTTGTACCTACACCACTGAGTCACTGAGGGATTCCAGAAACGCACCTTGAGTGGCAAGGGGTGGCTGGCTGGGTGCGTATTCGGGGACGAGCAGACGAGCAGGAAATGGAGATCCAACAAAGGAGCAAAACGGGAGGTTTCCAATCAGGAGGCAGGTCTCACGAGGTGGTAAGGGGTGGTTTGGTTGGTTTAGGGCTGGGGTTGGTTTAGGGCTGGTGGTTTGGTTGGTTTAGAACTGTACCAGTGGCAATGACAGGGATGTGCTTTTCGCTGTTGCTTTTTGTTGTTCGGGATTGGAGGGTTCACATAGGAGTTAGATTTGCTAGATCACAGTGGTTTAGAGATTGGTTGTGTGCCCCATTTATCTATTTGTACAAAAGGCTATTTATGTTCAGGACCCTTGTCAAAGGACCCCCTTTTGACATCGTGCCAATCCTCAGAAAGGAAAGAGGCTCGGAGGGGTGAGGCACGAGGAAGGTTCATTCCGAGGTTTTTTGTAGACGACCAGGGACATGGACAGGCGGTTTCGTATGATCTTCGTTATTCGCTTGCAAGAACTCTGCACGGAATCATACGAGTCTCCGAGTCTGTTCCATGGCTAGGGCAGCTCATAATGCCATGCTGGAATGGACACACGAGGAACCAACAAATGCCTTGCTTAGGAGCTGCCGCCTCTTGCTGGTGGAAACCATGCATGTCAATTCTTATTCCTACGCTTTGGGATGTGTTGCTTCCTTCTTGCATTTGGAACAGTCTCAACTTAATGCATTGATATGTTCCAAACCCAGAACCTTGAAACATGCTTGCAGCAGATCTTGTGCCGCCTTGAACGCCTCGTGCGCTCAGGTGGCGGCATCACCAGGGGCACAAGGAGTGGTCGGCGGAACTACTCCTGTAAAGGCGAAAGCAAGCATTTCACTGCACCTCGCCGGGGCAGGTTCGTTCTGCCGCGGCTTTGCGTTATCGCAGTTGCGATTCTCCGCCCAATTGATTCACCATGCCTTTGATTGTGTGACCCATTACCCCCTACATGCTGAGAGCAAAAAGTCCGCGCCGGCTGCCAGCGCGCTGTGGGTGTGGAGCCCATGAAATTGCAGTTTTGGGAAATGGAGCGCCATCCGAAAAGGGGGGACCGCCATTTCGGGTGCATGGCACACGGGCACGCGAGCACTAGCCTGGCTCGCAGCGTTTTTGTTATTTGTTTGTGGGTGGGTGGGTGCGTGCGTGGGTGTGTGTGTGTGTGTGGGCTGCGGGGACTGGAGTTCAGTATGGGCGATGTCAAAAAGGGAGAGAGGTCCCTTTCAGGTTGCGTTCGGTGTCGTTTTTTGGCCACCTTTGAACGGGGCGCCCCAGATTCTGGCCCACCACATGTCAACGGAGAGGATCTGGGAGGAGATTTGGCAACGATGCGCTGGGGGCTCGGGACCCATGCGGCAATGCCATTCTGAGGGGCAGCTCCATTCTGGCAAACGGGTTGGATGTGGGGAAGTGGATCCACACCTGTCGGATCCTAAAAGAGTGTATACTAAAAGACCAACAAAGAGTACCAACAGGGCAGTGGGGAAGAACAGACTACAAGCATATGCCAAATGATTACCAACAAAGAGTAGCAACAGGGGGGAAGAAGAGACACCAGCCGCAACACAGGCTATTTGCTTGGGACAGAAAGCTCCGGCCAAGGGCGGCAGCCAACCGCCGCCAGGTGAACAGTGAGGAGGTCTACAGCAAGGTGGCCTACAACCTGGTGGAGCGGACACGCGCCTGGGTGGATTTTTGTGGATCGGACCTGGTGGTTGTTTTTTGCTTTGGTCTTTGTGGGGGGGATTCGCGGATCGGACCAGTTTTTTTTGTTCGGGGGGGGGGGGGCGCGGGTCAGTTTGTGGTGAGCTTTTTTTTCGTGGGGGAATTGTGTTCCACCTCTAGGGGCATTGTTTTCCGCTGCGTTCCGACATGCAAGCAAGCAAGCAAGCAAGCAAGCAAGCAAGCAAGCAGGCAAGCAAGCAAGCAAGCAAGCAAGCAAGCAAGCAAGCAAGCAAGCAAGAATGCAACCAACCCAAGCAAAGGGAACAAGCAAGCAAGAAAGCACGCACGCAAGCAAGCAAGCAACCCTGAACCGACCCGAAACCAACCCTCAACCAACTCAGAAAGAAAAAGACCTTAAAGCAAGCCTAACCCCACCATAACCCCACCCTAAACCCCACCCAAAACCGCCCCAAACCAACCCTACATCCACCCTAAACCAACCCTAAACCGGCCCTGAAACCAACCCTAATCCAACCCTAAACCAAATCCAAACCAACGCAAGCCGGCCTTTACCCAACCCTAAACCAAACCTAGACCAACCCTAAACACCCTAAACCAAGTTTAAACCAACCTTAAAAGCAGGCCTAACCCCACTTCTAAACCGCCCAAAAACAACCCTACACCCACTCTAAACCAACCGGTGAAACTTGGCGTAAGTTGTGTTTGGGTATTGTTTTCACGAAACAAGTTCTTTTTGTGGCGAATGTGGTGCAAAACAAGTGTTTTACAGCGTTCGAAATCGACGCTTGGCATAATCTTCGAAATCGGTGAAACTTGGCGTAACTTCGCGCAAATTTGCGTATCTGGGCGTAAATCTCCGAAGTGGGCCACACTTTGCGAAACTTGGGGACCTTTGTGAAACTCGGCAAAACCTCTGAAATCGGCGCCACGGTTCACCGATGTTGGGGGATTTATGCCAAGTTTCGTCAAATCCTTCCTGGAAATCAAAATCACTGTGTACAAAGTGGGCCCCGCTGCACTGTGATTCTTGTGCCAATCTGTAGATCTCATGGTGCGTGCCGTGAGTTTTCTCAAGACGTGTTTTTCACCCCCCCTCGGCCCGCAGGCCCCCGCGCAAAAGGTTGAAACCACTTCTTTCTTTCTGTTTCGCGGGAAAAGGCTCAACCAGCGTGCCAAGCATGCGTCTGCTTCAACTCGGTGATTGCAGCTCTTGCTGCCGCTGCTCTTTTCCGAAGGGATTGACAGGCGCTTGATATGTTTAGGGGACCCCCCCAAGAAAAAAGAGCATTGGATTTCCTTGCGGTTTCCCTTTCAAACAACGAAACGCCCAAAACCCTAGATGGGTTCATTCTCTGGTTTTATGGGCTTTATCTCACTAAAGCCGACCTTTCGACCTTGTGAATTTCCCATTTTGGTTCATTGTTAGTCATAGGCTCAAAGGATTAACCTTTTATTTCCAGGCTCTTGGGCAACTGAGTTATGCTATGCTCCTGTGCGCTAAACATGGACCCCACCACAAAGACCCTTCTTCACGTAACATAGTCGTCCAGGAACCTGAAACGTCAGGTTCCATATTTTAGTCGACAGGACGGTAAGGCCTGTGTAAACCTTTATGACCGTAGAACGAGCCATTGCTTGATTTGGTTTTGTGTGCCGGTCACGTGGGCGCCCCTCGTTTTGGGAGAGGGACGCACTGAGGTGACGGTGGCGTGGGTACCATGTTTATGTTCGGGCAGACCGGCAGCGGCAAGACCCACACCATGACGGCGATCCAGGCGATTCGGAGTTCGCGCGGGAGAGGAAGGGAAAGGTGTGTCGCAGAGTGGGGTACTCCCTGTTTGGAGGGTTTGATGGTTTGAAGCAGTGCCTGTTTCGTGTTGTTATTATTATTATTATTATTATTATTATGTTTTTTGTTTTTTAAACACAGCCGAATGCGAAATGACTTTGCTCGAGGAACGGCCATGTTCTCCACATTCTGATCTGACTTTCTCCCTCTCCCTTCTCTCCCTCACTTCCCTTCCCCTTCCCTTCCCTTCCGTTCCCTTCCCTTCCTCCCTTGACTTCTCTCCTTCCATAGGGGGTTCATCCAAATAATGTAAAATGATCAAAACAACTTCACCTTCCCCTCCCTTTCACTCCCCTGCCCTCCCCTCCCCTCCCCTCCCTCGATCCAGGAGCTGGCCTCCCAGGACCTCTTCCACGGCGAAAACGGCGTCTCTTGGCTCTCCGTGACCTTCCTGGAGCTCCGGGGCCACCGCTGCTTCGCGCCTTCGGCCTTACGCGCGGATGGGCGCGCGAGCGGGCGCGAGTGGGAGCCGTAGGAGCCGCGGGAGCGAGCGAGGTCGTGGGAGTCGGAGAGTTCACAAAAATAGGCGCCAGAATTCGCTCCCCGTTGTTTTTTTTCCGTTTTTTGTTGTTTTTTTTTTCTCGGCTTTTTGGGGGTCCCCTTTGTTTTCCACTCACCAGGCAACAAAGAGATATTTTTTTGCTGGGGTGCTAATTCCAGCCTAGAGCATAGGCGCCATAGGTGTAAGGCTCGGCCCGCATGTTGGTTTGCCCTGGCCCCTTCCCGTGCGAATGATTGCCCAAGAAGTTTGCTGTTGATTCCAGACCATGGTTCAGTGCAACAACTCGCCTGTGGTTCCGTTCTCTTTTGGAGAATGCGATGGGTTGAGCTCATGGGTGTCCTTTTGGGTGGGTTTTCCTGGTTGACCTGGTGGCTCAATCAACTACGAAACCCACCTGTTTTTAACCAAAAAGGACACCTATGCTTCGGAGGCGTTTCGCTCAACCGATCCAGCAGTCGGGGGGAGAACCCCCCCCAAAGTGGGTGACGTCTTTTTGTGTTTTGTCCTTTTGGTTTTCCCCTAAAGCAGAGCTTTTGGCTTTCCAAGTTCCAAGTGGGTTTTTCCCCAGTGCTTTTGGTTTTCCCCAAAAAACGGGGGTGGTATGCTTGATGTCAGCTTGGTTTGTGAGAATCCCCCCCACCAAACCATCCGTCAATGGAAGGAGTTCGCAGGGCCACCTTGGGCATCCCGAAAGTCCCCTTCAAAAAAGAAAACACAAATCCAGCAGGCAAAGATTAGGCAAAGATCCCCCTTCAACAACCTCATATATTGGGTGTGTCTCTTTCGTTTCTCTAAAAAGGGGGGGGGGGAAACACACACCCAGAAAAAAATGGCTTGGGTTTTTCCTTTTGGCTTCAACCTGCAAGCCCACAGAAAAAGGAGGTGCACCCTGAAAAAGACGCACCCTTTTGGAGGTACAGGGAGTCTTGAAGGTTTTTTAGAGGGGTCCTGAAAGATGGTCCTTTTGCTGGCTTCCCCATTTGGAGAGACACCTGGCATGGCGATGACTGGTTTCAAGAGCAATTATGGGGCTCTTCTTTGCACCAGCAAAATGGATCAAAATATGGGTTTGTTCTCCAAATAGGGAACCCCCAAAATGAGTGATTTTCCTCGGATTTTCATTTTTAAGACCAGCCCAAAAAGGGTACCCATACAAGACACCGCCGTGGGGCCAGATTTCCCCTTCAATGGCGAATCCCCGGGCTGGTTTCCATTGGCTCCGCATCCCCACTTTTTGAAGTAAGCCCCGCATGTTTCAATTGGGACCCTCATTTTGGCTGAGACGCCATACAAAAGACACCTTGGGGCCAGATTTCCTTGGCTCCGCATCCCCCACTTCTTTCAGCCCACGTCACACGCCCGACGCCCGTGACCAGCGGCCAAGGACCTGCTGGCGCACAGCGCGGCGGGCGCCGGCCGCAAGGAAGCCGCGGAAGCCACCAGAGGGGTCCCTTTTAAGGGAAGAGCGCCGTCTTTCAGGGATTCAGGATGCGAAACGTCAGGTTTTTCAGGTTGAACGAAGTGAATCACAGGGTAGTTCTTGTTGTTGAGTTGCTTCCATGTGAGGAATATTGGTTACTTTAGAGCCTCCGGCTCAGTCCGCCGACATTGTCCTCTCCCTTTTCTCCTTCTTCCTCTCTTCCTTGTCTCCCTTGTGTGTTCTGTCGTCCTCTCTCCCTCCCTCTGCTCCCATCCTCCCCATCCCCCCAAGCCTCTCTCTCCCCAATCTCCCTCTCTCGTATGCATGCATGTACATAAGTATGTATGTATGTATGTATGTATGTATGTATGTATGTATGTATGTATGTATGTATGTATGTATGTATGTATGTATGTATGTATGTATGTATGTATGTATGTATGTAAGCAAGTAAGTAAGTAATGTACGTAAGTAAGTATGTATGTATGTAATGTAATGTAATGTAATGTAATGTATGTATGTAATGTATGTATGTATGTATGTATGTATGTAATGTAATGTAATGTAATGTAATGTAATGTAATGTAATGTAATGTAATGTAATGTAATGTAATGTAATGTAATGTAATGTATGTATGTATGTATGTAATGTATGTATGTATGTATGTATGTATGTATGTATGTATGTATGTATGTATGTATGTATGTATGTATGTATGTATGTATGTATGTATGTATGTATGTATGTATGTATGTATGTATGTATGTATGTATGTATGTAATGTATGTATGTATGTATGTATGTATGTATGTATGTAATGTAATGTAATGTAATGTAATGTAATGTATGTATGTAATGTATGTAATGTATGTATGTATGTATGTAATGTATGTATGTATGTATGTATGTAATGTATGTATGTATGTATGTATGTATGTATGTATGTATGTATGTATGTATGTATGTATGTATGTATGTATGTATGTATGTATGTATGTATGTATGTATGTATGTATGTATGTATGTATGTATGTATGTATGTATGTATGTATGTATGTATGTATGTATGTATGTATGTATGTATGTATGTATGTATGTATGTATGTATGTATGTATGTATGTATGTATGTATGTATGTATGTATGTATGTATGTATGTATGTATGTATGTATGTATGTATGTATGTATGTATGTATGTATGTATGTATGTATGTATGTATGTATGTATGTATGTATGTATGTATGTATGTATGTATGTATGTATGTATGTATGTATGTATGTATGTATGTATGTATGTATGTATGTATGTATGTATGTATGTATGTATGTATGTATGTATGTATGTATGTATGTATGTATGTATGTATGTATGTATGTATGTATGTATGTATGTATGTATGTATGTATGTATGTATGTATGTATGTATGTATGTATGTATGTATGTATGTATGTATGTATGTATGTATGTATGTATGTATGTATGTATGTATGTATGTATGTATGTATGTATGTATGTATGTATGTATGTATGTATGTATGTATGTATGTATGTATGTATGTATGTATGTATGTATGTATGTATGTATGTATGTATGTATGTATGTATGTATGTATGTATGTATGTATGTATGTATGTATGTATGTATGTATGTATGTATGTATGTATGTATGTATGTCATGTCATGTCATGTCATGTAATGTAATGTAATGTAATGTAATGTATGTACGCATGTATGTATGTAAGTATGTATGTAATGTAATGTAATGTAATGTAATGTAATGTAATGTAATGTAATGTAATGTAATGTAATGTAATGTAATGTAATGTAATGTAATGTAATGTAATGTATGTATGTAATGTAATGTAATGTATGTATGTATGTATGTATGTATGTATGTATGTATGTATGTATGTATGTATGTATGTATGTATGTATGTATGTATGTATGTATATGTATGTAATGCATGTATGTATGTATGTATGTATGTATGTATGTATGTATGTATGTATGTATGTATATTGCATTCCCATTTGCTAGTATTTCCCGCAAAAAAAACACGGTTTTTCCAGCGTTTTCGCAAAGAGGACGTCCAAAAACATTGAGTTTTTCCAGATTTTCGGCAAAAGGATGCAGGAAGCCCAAGCCAGCAAAAAAGCCGGCAGGGGGAATCGAGCCTGGGACCCCTGTTTTGCGACACCGGCTCCCCGAAGACTACGTTTAGTGGAACGTCATCAAATTGCCGCGCGGTACGTGGGGGACCCCCCCCCCCCCCCCCCCCCCCCCCCCCCTCCAAAAAACCTACGTAATAGACGTCGGGCGGGGGGGGGGGTTAGGGGGGGGGTTATCCTCTATCCTCTAGTAAGTATCCGACACGCCGAGCAATGTCGGCGGATTTTTTCCTGTTTTAAAGGGAATCCATCACTGGATGAAAATTTTGTTTGGCGGCTGCAAATGAATGTAAGGGTATCTTTGTTGGGTTGCTTCTTGTGCCCCCCCCCGGGTTGGAGAGGGTGTGAACGGCACAAGCTCCCACCGGCATTCACACGGGGCTTACTGGACCTGCCTGGCACCGCGTATGGCTGTTGTTCTTCTTCTTTTTTTCGGTCAATCTCCCAAATTTGGCCGTACTTGCCCATATGGCCATGTTTTTTTTTTCCGGTCATTTGCGTAAATCACCCGTATGAAGCCCATATGTGTTCGACATGTTGCAAAAAAGAGAAACGTAAAAATCCGTATGGCCATTTTTTGGGTCAAAGGCGACCTAAAGAAAAACACGGCCATTTGGGGTCTTAGGTGGGCTTTGTTTGGAGGTGGGTCTCTTAAAAGTTAACGACAAAGAAAGTGCCCATGTTGTTTCTTCCTTTTTGGGAGGGGCAGCTAGAAAGTAGGCTAAAAGAACGAGTACCCATTTGTTGTGAGAGTGATCCTTTCCGAAAAGTGCCGGGCAGATGTTGTTTCTTGGTTTTTGGAGGGGGTCAGCTAGAAGAAGTACCCGTTCGTTGTGATCCTTTCCAGTTCCAAGGTCTCTTACAAGTCAGCTAAAAGAACAAGTACCCATGAGTTGTGACAGTGATCCTTTCCATTTTTTCCAGGAATCCTTCTTTCTAGAAAACCATTAGCAACCGAGGGAAACGGATCCGGTGTTTGAAAAGAACGATGGTTGACAAGAATGGACAAGGAATCAACCCCTAGAGTGATAAGTTGATTCCATCTAGGGCCAGCTTTGACCATGGGTAGCCTTTCCCATGTGGGTAGCCATCCACAGTGGGAAATCCCCACTTAGCTGCTAAAATTTGAGAATTTTTGCTCCCCAAACCCAACGTCGACCAAGATAAGTTGTGACCCTTTCCAGTTCAGAGCGCCATGTACATCTCTCCCACCATAAAACCAGGGATTACGCCAAGGTGTACAATTCCATCCACAGTAGTGACCATAGGCGTCCTTTTTGGTTGCTTTGCTAGAAAAATAGGTTGGGCGATTCCTGGTTTACTTGGTTTAATCATCTACCAGGGATCTCCATCTATTTCCCCTAAAAGGACACCTATGGTAGTGACCCTTTCCAGCGCCAAACATCCTGACAGCGGTCCGGAGCCACGCAACGGCCGCAGGACTCGCGCCCGGAGCTGCGCCTGCGGGAGCAGTTGGATGGGTCCTATGGCGCCGAGGGCGCGGTGACTCTGCGCTTTGGCAGAGACGGGAGGGACCGAGGGCCTGACATTGCCTCATGAATTCATGTGGCTGTGGTTGTCAAAACCGTTTTGGGATCCCTTTTTTGGGGATTGATGAATTCACCACCCATTTCAGAACCTATTTTACCCCCAAAATGGTGGGTTTTCCGCTTTTGGTTCGCCAGACAGAAGGTGACCCTCAAAAAAAAACGCCCCAGGTGATTTTTCAGTTTTGTTTCTTCTTTTTTCTGGTGCGCCAAGTTGCAGGCCTTTGATTTGGGTCTTTTGATCGGCCCTCCGATCCAAGGTTCCCCAACTCTCCGGAGGAGCTGTGCGCGGCGGGGTCGCCCAGGGATTCTTCTGGAATCTGAGACAACATCGAGCCCAGAAGCTTCCCAGAGCCCTTCGAGCCCCTTTCACAAGGTAGGAACCTTTTGGAGCCCTTGCGTTTCTTCCATATTAAATATCGAGAGCCCGAACAGCTTGTGAGTGGTTTGAAAGGGAAGGGACCGTTCTTTGGCAGTTGGGGGGCGTTTGCGCCAATTATTTGCCAACGAGCAGCCCGTGGCATTTCCCCCCCCACCCCTCTAACAGTTAGAGATAGCCTTTCCCGTCCGCATTTTGCCATCCAGTCATAGGGTCCCCCCTACACTTTTGGGCGCAATTCAAATACACCCACTAAAACAACCCATTTTCAACATTCAAATCCAATCACCCAACCAATCCAACATCAAAAAACACATATTCACATACCCATCTTCATTTCTTACCCCATCTCAACATCACCCCTATGCTCATTCAATAACAACAATCATAACTACATACCACCTCAACAAATCCCACCTAAAAAATCCAAGCTACATACCAACATTTTTTCATTCCCAAGATCGCAACCCCAAGATCTCAATAATTTCTCCCTTGATCCAACTTGACACCCTTTCCCATTTCCAACAAATACGAACAGTCTAAAACACAACCCTATGTTCGCCCCGAAAAGTGGTTAACCAATGGAAAAGGGAGAATTAAAACCGTTAACCCAAATCTTGAAAACAATCCCAGTAAATATGGATGGCAAAATGCGGATCGGGAAAGGCCTAGGTAGGAAAGCACCACCACGGCTTATACGGGAAAACTATACTACAATTACAACATATAAGATCTTACATGTTGTAAGTATAGTAAAACTATGGTATCAAAGGCTTTAATCTATGTATTTCCATGGGCTGTATTTGTTTCTTCTGCCTTAGCTCTTTTGTTGCTTTTACTTTGTCTCTGCATTCCTTACATGTTTTGTAAAATATATCTTCCATTTTAATTCTATCATACATTTTGTGAAAATCCTTTCTTGGCTTTGCTTCGTCGCATTTACTGCAATGATAAACCATTGTGCATCCTGTTTCTTCTTCGTCGTCTGTAGAACTCAGAATGTTAGTTATGCTAATATGTCTTTAAACGGATTTTCAGAGAAACATGTTTTCAATCAATAATAAATCCCTGTATCTTCATCATAGTCAATTTGATAAAATGTCATAGTGGAAGACTTCGGTTCTTTAATTTATTTGTTATTAAGTTTGTTTAAACATATATTTCTTTTTTTTTAATATTCACCATTGGTTCTATCTACTTCTTTACTTTGATAATTGTTTGTTAATGGTTTCTTCTTTTCCATTTCTTGCAATATTTCTAAAATATTCTTATTATGTTCCAAAACCTTTTTTAGTTGTTTAACAATCCTATCTAATCCTTCATCCATATATATATATATACTATAATATAAAATAAAACTTTTAAAACTAAATGTGTAAATTATGTTAAATATACTCCTTAAATACTATTTTTTCATCATTTCACGTATAGTTTCCTGTTTTTTCGTTATCACCATTATCGGATGGTGATGCATGCCTTCCCCATTTGATAGCAATATTATGAGCATCTGTTTCTAAGTTGATACTGTCTTTAGTTTTATCAATATTCATTTTCTTATCATTTTTACTTATTTTGAAACTTGCCGGAATACACGAGCATTTACAATTTCCTTTCTTTTGTATTTCTAATTCATTTTTCATCTCTAACATCTTTTTACACATAGGGCAAGCAAACTCAATAACTGATGTTTCTTTAACAATTTCTTCTTTTTCTTCATCAGTTGAAGAAACAACTGATTCTGTCTTATTTTTTTTGCTTTTCTTTCTTCCCATTTATATTAATATTTACATTTTTATTTGTGATATATTGTATCACAAACTTAATTATTTCTAAAACAAAATAGCATACTTTCTTGCATCTATTATCAGTTATAACAACTTGTTCTATATTATCTACTTCATTTATTATATCAGTATAATCTGAATAACTTCTATCCATATTAAATAATAAGATGAAATAATTATTAAAATAATTATTTGAACGTATTATTTCATGCACGGTAGAATATTCGGAGGGCACAACGATGGAGTTTTCTTTGCACTGGAAAACACAAGCGAGGTTCAAACTAATTCAAACTAATTAGTCTCAATGCTTATGATTGAAGTTGATGAAAGAGCCTGTTCTACCACGATAGACCCCATTCATATCATAGCAATGCTTTCATACAATAAACAATATTAAATTATTTTCTAAATATGTTTCATATTAACTATATGACAGATGTTCCAAAAATAAAACCAATAAACATAACTGAATATGAATTCAAGCAATCTAAATATGAGCACGTGCCAAAATTACCCTTCAGAAGTATTATAGTTGCTTCTTCGACAGGCGGTAAGACTGTCCTTATTCAAAATTTAATATTGAATGTTTATAGAAATTCATTTGCAAGAATATTTATATTTTCACCCGGCGTCCATAACGACCCTACATTTACAGAAGTTAAAAAATACATCAGGGATGAATTGCACGTGGATGATGAGAAAGAACAAATTTATTTTGCTAATTATAATCCAAGTGATTTAGAAAATATAATTGAAAGACAGAAGAAAATTATTAATTTTATGAAGTCTAAAAAGATAAAGAAACTGCATTCAATATTAATCGTTATAGATGACCACGCAGACGACCCTAAATTTGTTAGATATAGTAAATTATTACACGGGCTTTTTGCAAGAGGTAGGCACGATGCAGTAAGCGTAATTTGTTCAACACAAAAATATAATGTTTTAGCGCCAATCATTCGTTTAAATGCCAGTTCATTATATATGTTTAGGTTGAAAAATGCCAGTGAATTAATGAGTTTTATTGAAGAAAATAGCGCCATTGTTGACAAACAGCAATTATTAGATATGTATCATCAAGCCGTTAATTTTGCTCCATATTCTTTTTTCTACGTGAATATGAATTCAACAGACATTAACAAAATGTTTCATATCAATTTTGAACAGGCATTTCAAATTACAAATGATGAATAAATATATTCTAATTTAATATAATATAATAATATGCTAATGAAACTATGTAGATGTGGTGGATTTTATCGTAAAGGTAATTGCAATTTTCATACTAATTCTTGGATACCTAAACTTTATAAGGTATTGAAAAGGAGGGCAACGGACGAGGAATTATTAAGATTTCAAAATAACTTTGTTGATGAAGAAGATTTAATAGATGATAGATGTAGCAATGCCTCAACGAAATTGCCAGAAGATGAAATGACAGATTATGATAACAATTAATAATATTAATTATGTTTTAATATTATCAATTTAGAATAATGAATAACTACATAAATTCAAGGCAGGTAGTTTATAATATATCTTATCTTTTTTACATTCATTAACTCTCTCTAATTTATTAATTATTGCTTTCAATGAATTTATTTGTAAAATATCAATTCTTGACATTTCACTTATCGTATTTACATCTATATCTTTTATTACTTTAATAGCCTCTTCATCATCAATTTCTACTGGTTTTGATTTACTTGAACCCATTACATATAATATTATTTAGATGTTAATTTTTTAAAATTATCTTTTTGTTTTTCTTCTCCGTCTTCTTCTTCGTCTTCAGTTGGTGCCGGTATTTCTGTTGGACTTTCAGATGAAGAACTATGGACAGTAATAGGTGGAGAACTATGAACACTAATAGCTTCATTTGATGAATTGCTACTGTTAGCTTGTGCATTTCCTGCTGCTATTTGATTTACTAAATCTGCGATATTTATTGTTGTTGCAATTGCGCTATGTGATAAGTTTAATATTATATCTGCTACTGTAGCGCCGTTGTGTAGCATTAGTTCTATCATTTTTGTCAGTTTGAACTTCTTTTCTTCTTCATCGCTGTCATCCTCATCTGGTGGTTTCTTTGGCGGTGGTTCTGGTGGTTTGTTGTTGTCAAGCATTTTAGTACAGGCTCACACCATTGCGTCTCGTTGGTTTTTCAGTGTTTGTGTTGCTTGTGTTCCTGTTGGTTCATTCCTGTTGTATGTGTTGTGCCAAAAGTTTTTAAGCATTATTTTAAACATATTGTCTTGGGTTTCCTTTACCTTAAACGCTTCAAATGTCATATTTAATTGCTGATTTGCATCACTGTATAACTTTTCGTCAGTCTGTCTGGTTTCCGTTGGTGTGTTTGGTTTTGTTAGGTTATATATTGAAAAACTGTCGTCGTGATCATATTTATCATTGAACTTCTGCTTCTTTCTTTTCAGTATATTCTTTGTTAATATTATCATTAAACATATCTATATATTATTTTTTTTTCTTACCCTTACCCCTAAAACTTGCCTTGAGTTCTTCTATTCTACCTCTGCTTAAATTTACTATCCATCCGCCATTATCAATAGTGTCTAAAATCATATCTGTTAAGTATTCTTTGTATGATCTCGCCTTGCCTCTACCCTTGTGTTTCAATTATTCCTGTATTTTGCTTTCTTCTGGCACTTGAATGCCTCTTAAATAAAACTGAAATTTAATATCATTTACTGTTAAATTAAGGTTGTCTTTCCAATAAGCGGGACTAATATTATTATCCAGTGTTGTTTTGAGTAATGGCATTCTCGGTAATGGCGGTGGTTGCTGTGATGATGCTCCTGTTGCTTGTTGAATTGGTGGCGCTGATCCATAAAAACTGTCATGTACTGCTTCCTGTGGTAATTCAACATCTTCTAATGCCATTGATTGAATATCGTTTGCTCTTGTTGGTTGTGCTTGTGTTGGTGCTGATGGTGTCGATTGTCTATTGCCTAGCATTCTTTGGAAAAATGTTCCGCCCATATCTCTTAAATTTGATGCCATTGCTTGACTCACTTCATTTACTCTTTCTTTTGTTGCTGTTGCTAGTTCTTGCAGTCTTGTATCTACCACTGCCTCGTGCTGTCTTGCTGTTTATAGCGGTGTTGAAA